GGCCAACGTGTTGGAAATATCATCACTGCCTTCCTGGGGATTTCCGGCGCCACCACTAGAGGCAGTGTGGAGTTGTAACAGAGAAGGGACCTGGGAATCAGACACGTGTTTTCATCCCTGCCTTTTAGCAGTGCGTCTCTTGAGACACCTATGAAAATGGAGATAATGCTTACCTCACGTAATAGTTATGAACATTAAATGTTAACATTCCCCAAGGCCTAGAACAGTCCTGGCACGGTTGAGTTTTTTTCCCCCCTTCTCTTTTTTAAAGAAATAGTTGGATTTTGAGCATTGTTTCTAATACGCCAGCTACTCTCCCAGAGATCTGCCTTCTCCAAATACGATTATCATTCTGTGCCGTAAAGCAGATGGATGACATTGTTAGAAAAGACAGGACCAAAGGAATGTGTGTAAATAATATCAAATATATTTACATTTCTGGAAGTACACGTGCTAGGTAGTGCCCTGAGCGGGAGATTACTTTTTCTACGTACTGTACGTATGTTTCATCATTGTCGATGCATAACTTCTATCAAAATAAAAACGTTTAACTTGCAAGTGAAGTGAACATGATATCCTGATGCCCTCCTCCTCGCGCCCCCTCCTGCGGCAGCAGCCCAGCAGCCGCCTCTTTCCGACCCCAAAGGCCTCTCGGCCCAGCCGCCCCCGCCCCGCGGTTGCCAAGTTAAACACGAAGGAGGTGGTTACCCGCGCGCGCGGACAGGCGGGTGCCTAGCAACCAGGGCGCTTAACAGAGGAGCTGGCGAGCGGAGGTGGAAGTCGGAGCCGGGAAGGAGGTGAGAAGCTGAAGGGAGAGGGCTCTGGGGGCTCACACCCAGGGCCGAGCTCCCTTCCTCTCTCCCTCCTCCTCCCTTCTCTGCGCCAGCGCCGGGGTATTAATTTAAACCCAAAACGATTATCCTGGGGAGGGGAGAGGTGGAGTTTGGCTGGGAAATAGATGGACCCCAGTACCTCCTCCTCCAACAGGGTGAGGAGGGAGTGTGACGACCAGATGGGAAGGAGGACCAGCGCCCAACTCCCCTGTGCCAACCCGTATCCCCTACAAAAATCTAGCCTGTACTCTCTGGATGGAGCACAGGGCCAGGTCTCTTAAAGCCCCCACGGATCCTGGCCAACGCTGGGGAGGGAAAAAAAGGAACGCTCCATTAGACTCGGTTGCTGGAAGTAGGGGTGGAAACTGGATTAAGAGCTATTTTCCCTGCTAACCCCCACCCCACCAGCCCCACTAAGCACTTGGCAACACACACACACACACACACACACACACACACACACACACTGCTCCAGGACCTGCAGGGTCCAGGACTTTGTGTCTGTGGATGGATGCACGGGAGGAAATTTATCAATAGTTAATGCCTCACAACAAAATTAAGTAAAACAGGAAGAGGCTTGAAGGACAATGGACAGGAGCAGGTCTTTTGGAGGGGACTTTTGATCTAGGAAAGGGTCTCCTGCAGCCTTGTTTTTTTCTCTCCAGTAGAGGTGGGTGTCTTGGAACAGGTCTTGGGGGCCCCTGCACCATGGCCACACTGAGCGTCAAGCCCAGTCAACGCTTCCAGTTGTCCGACTGGCACGCCAACAGCTACCTGTTGTCCACCAACGCTGAACAGCAGCGAGATGCATCACATCAGATCCGCCAGGAGGCCCGGGTTCTCCGCAATGAGACCAACAACCAGGTGGGGAGCCGGAGCCCGGGGGGGGGGGGTAGGCAAAGGAATAGTCCCCAACCCTCAACCCCCTTTTTATCTGGCTCTGTCTCTTCCAGACCATTTGGGATGAGCACGACAATAGGACGCGACTGGCAGAGAGGGTTGATACTGTCAACCGATGGAAGGAGATGCTGGACAAGTGTCTGACAGATTTAGATGCTGAGATCGACGCCCTGTCGCAGGCAGGGAGCTAGGGCAGGGTGCCAGGAGACCCTGCTGCAAGGACCTCCCCTCCCTCCCCACTTCGAGGTCGGGGAACCCGTGATGGGGTATTTGGTGGCATGTCCATCTGGGCCACTGGCTGGCCCCTCTGCTAAAGTGGGAGTGAGGGCTGCTTGTCAGTGGGTGGCCCACCAGCCTCCTGTGCCCTCTTTTTTCTAGATGAAAGAGTCAGCAGAGCAAAACCTGCAGGCCAAGAACCTGCCTCTGGATGTGGCAATCGAGTGCCTGACCCTGCGGGACAGTCGGCAGGACATTGATGTGGTGAAAGACCCTGTGGAGGAAGAGCTGCACAAAGAGGTGGAGGTCATTGATGCCACCAGGAAGGCCTTGCAACAGAAGATTAGCCAGGCCTTTGAGAAGCTCTGGTAAGAAAGAGACACGTCACTCATATGTTCAACATGCTCTTGAAGGCTGTGTGTCTTAAATGTGGGACATATGTACCGTGATGACGAGCAGCTGGCTTTCAGGCTGCCTTCTGCCTCTGCTGTGCCCACAGCAAAAACTACTGACTGATTGTAGCACTTTTTCCACCTCCTAGACATGGTCTCAGAATACTTCTCACCCTGAAGTACCTAGACCCTGTTCTAGGCAGCCATTGTCAATTGGTTGGAAGCACAAGAGCTAACACCCATTTGCCACTACCTCGACTGAGTACCCTGTGGTGTGTATGTGTGAGCCTTCATGAGTGTAGCTAATATGTGTGTCCCTATGGTTGTGTGCAAGCATGTGTGTGTCATAATTTTATCTGTGAGGAGCTCATCCAGCTATGCTGGTCTTTGTCTCAGCTGCAGCAGCAGCTCCCTTGTCACTCTGGCCTCCCCATCACTCAGTGTCCCTGCAATACAGTGAGGGGTGTGTCCTGGGGCCTTAGAGGGATGGATCCTGATGAGTCTGTTCCTTCCCCAGCCTCCTGCAGGAAGTCCGACAGCAGCTCAACTCTGACCATCGGGGCAAAATGGAGGCATTGGACATTGACAGGGGCTGCCTGTCTCTCAACCTCAAGTCCCCAAACATCTCCCTGAAGATTAATCCCACACGTATCCCTGATGGGTAAGAAGTGTTCCAGTCTCTCCTCCCCCCACCCCAACATAGGCCATACTGTTATAACTCCAGTATTTCCTGCCACCTGCAGCTCCTCCACACTTCAGCAGTGGGATGACTTTAGTCAGTTCAACAAGAACCGGGCAGAGGCTGAGATGAAAGGAGCCATAGAGCTGCGGGAGGCCATCGCCCTCACTATTGCTGAGGTGACTGACCACTTGCCCAACCCCACTCCTCTACAGCTAATGGATGGCCCAAGTATGCACTCAAGCCCTTATCTTTTGTTCCCTGTTGGCCGTTTGGCATCCCATCCCCTCACTTGAGCGACATTCTCAGATGGCCATGAGTTTATACCCTCTCTTGCTCTACCTACTTCCTGTCCTTCAGACCAACAATGAACTTGAAGCCCAGAGGGTTGCAACAGAATTTGCCTTCAGGAAGCGGCTGCGGGAGATGGAGAAAGTATACAGTGAGCTCAAGTGGCAAGAGAAGAATGTGAGCCTTCTCCAGTTTGTCCCCTGGGGCTTGGACTTCCTGCTGTGGGAGGAGGAGCCTGATGCCAGGCCAGGAAGCCCGGAGAGGGGTCAGCCTGTGGAGACCAGTCACTCTGTTTCCTGCAGACATTAGAGGAGATCGCAGAGCTGCAACAGGACATCCGGCACCTGGAGGAGGATATGCACAGAAAGTTCCTGAATCTGAAGCTATGCCATACCCGGCTGGAGTCCAGAACCTACCGATCCAACGTAGAACTCTGCCGGGACCAGGTGCGAGGGTACCCCAGTGGGGCACTGTCCTCTGCTAAGATCTCCTCAGGATCACTAACTCTCCAGCACACATTTCTGGTGGCGGAGGGGTGTTGAAGGAGGGCTAAAGGATAGTATGGCTGACCTGGGACTCCCAACCCTCCCCTTTGCCTCCAGGCACAGTATGGCCTCACTGACGAGGTTCACCAGTTAGAGGCAACCATCGCTGCCCTGAAGCAGAAGCTGGCACAAGCACAGTAGGTTTGGGGAGTGTGCAGGAGGGGCAGGGAGACACCTCCCATCCATGGGGCCTCATGCAAGGTGGTGGGTTGTTAATGCCTCCTCCCCAGGGATGCTCTGGACGCCCTACACAAGCACCTGGCCCGGCTGCAGACTGACATCACCTGCAAGGCCAACTCCATGCTGTTGGACACCAAGTGCATGGACATCCGTCGGAAGCTGACTTTGCCTGCTGAGAAGTTTGTGCCTGAGGTCGACACCTTCACCCGCACCACAAACCGCACCCTGAGTCCACTCAAAAGCTGCCAGCTAGAGCTGGCCTAGCCTTGGGGGCTGAGGAGGGAGGGGAAGGTTAGGTGGGAAATGGAAGAGGAAGGGGGGTGAAGAGAATGAATCTAATAAACGTCGTATTTCTCGGTCCAGAAGGTTCTTTTCTATTGCTGCATGTAGTCAGCAGGAAGTGAAAGGGCTCTTGACCCTCCTGTGTATGGAGGAGCAAACACGGGGGCCATCCTCCCCCAAGCTCCATGTTCCAAATCTTGATTCCTCCGCCCTCCTCAAGGCAACCCCTTTCTGGGCTAGGCCAGCACCCACTGGCTCTAGCGGCATGACCTCTAACCAGCTCTGCCCCAGGTGGACCCTTGCCTGCTCTCTACGCCTAGGGGAGGCCCCGAATAGGCTAGGGTCCCCGTGGGAGGGCTTGGGGGCGTGGGCCTAGGCCTGAGTCCAAGAGCTGCGGCTGCCGAAGGAGGGCTGGGGTGCCAGGCCACAGAGGAAGGCTTTATAAAGGCAGGCTCTGGTGGGCAATGGCCTGAAGGGCAGGGCTGCCATGGGCCAATGGTCCTTTCGGGTCCTCTTTAGTGGTGACACCGTTTACAAGTGGGGAGAAGGGGGGCTAGAAAGCAGGGGCCCGGCCGAATCCTCCCCGCGTTAAGTGACCGGCGGCCCCGGTCCCACGCACGCGGAGCTGCGCCTCCACGCCGCTGGGCGGCGCTGTGGGCGAGGAGCGGCGCCTCCGGGCCGCTGGCGGGCGCTGTGGATGGAGGTCGGCGTTAGGGCTCCGGGCCGCGGGGCGGCGCTGTGGGGCCGGGGTGCTGTCGGGGAGCGGCGCCGTGGCGGTCGCGCCGGCCGCACCGGAAGTGGCGACGGGGCCTCGCGGATGGCGGCGGCGGTGGCGGCAATGACGGCGGCTGGCTTCGCAGGGGCTGGAGCGGCCCGCTCCCTCTCTCGCTTCAGAGGCTGCCTGGCTGGCGCGCTGCTCGGGGACTGCGTGGGCGCCATGTACGAAGCGCACGACACCGTCAACCTGACGTCAGTCCTGCGTCACGTCCAGAGCCTGGAGCCGGACCCCGACTCGCCGGGGAGCGAGCGGACAGGTGGGCAGGGCCAGGCGCACGTGGGGACGAGGGGGCGGGGGTCGCCCGTTAGGGACCCAGGCCTCCGGGGAGCGCGGTGGGGAGAGGCCTGTGTTCGGAGACCAGGCTGCCTAGGGCGGCAGCGGCCAGATCTGGATGGCCCGCTGGCAGCCCAGCACGTCTCTCCCCAAACATTCCCTAACTCGGGGCATGGCGACACGCTTCTCCCAGCCGTATAAGCCAGAAACCTGGGCGTCATTCTCCTATGTTGCGCCTAGTCTCTAGTATAGACATTATAGTATATACATCTTAGCGATTTTACCTGTCTTACCCAGTTCTCTGGAATCAGTGCACCACCAGTCCATGCTCCGTACAGCAGGGAGTGCTCTTCTCAAAACAGTTCTGATCGCAGCCTCCCCCGCGTGGAACTCAGCAGTGATTTTCCATTATCCTTAGGTAGAGCCAAATTCCTTAACTTGTCCTCCCTGGCCCGCGGCTTCAGTTTCATCTTACACCACCCGTAGCCTTGCTTTCTGCTCTTCACTTCCCCGCACACGAGCTTTCTCTAGCCCAGGCCAATGCCTGTGCTGTTAAAACTCTCTCCCCTCTGCTTCTCGCTACCCTTGTGCAGTCAGCTCCTCACCCAGATCTCAGCTCAGTATCACGTCTGAGGTCAAGCAGAGGGTGATTCTTCTTGGAGCGCCTGTAGAATAGTAAGGAAAAGGGGCGCTACTCAGAGCTCTGCAGGAGGACAAGGAGCTGGAGAAGGGAACAGTTTGATAGGAGGAGAAGCAGGGATCTTGGGTATCAACAAAACCCGAGAAATTTTCCAGGTGAAGACACTGGTCACTGGTGTGCTACAGAGAGGTTAAGAAGAGGAAAGTCTGGATTTAAAAAAGTACTGTCAGTAGAAGGTTGAAGCCTAGAAGTTAAGATTTCAGTGGGTTTAGAAGGAAATGGAAACTGAGGAAGTAAAATATGGTTTAGTAAAATAAAGTATGAAGGGAAAGAGGTGAACTATGGTTGAGGTGAAGACAAGATGAAGGGACAGTTTTTAGTTTCATTTTGGTTTGATGTTAAGATGAGGGAAAGACATATTTTAGGTTGAGAGGTGTTTTAGGACCCTTTGGATGCAAGTGGCAGAAAACCCAACTCACAGTGGCCTGAGCCAAAAGAGGACATACTGACTGACATAACTGAAAAGTCCAGCAGTAAGTCTGGCTTTAAGCGGGACCGAATCCACGGGCTCAGGCCACTACCTCAAGACCCAGCTCCTCTCCTCATTCAGATCTGCGTTCTCAGTGGACCTCACTCACTGTGGCTTCCCATGGGGTGGCCCCCACAGCTCCCAGCTCAGCAGCTTCAGCAGAGGAAGAGCTTCTCTTTGCAGCAAGCCCCACAGAAGTCCCAAGTTGAGTCTCATTGAGCTGGCTTGGATCACCTGTCCGTCCCTGAGCAAGGAAGTGGAGTGTGCTATCTGATGAGGCTAGAGGTAGCATTAGCTCCATGCCCTTGTCACATGGACTGAGAATGGGAGAGAAATGGTTCCCTGGGGAAAACGGTGTAGGGACCCAGCAAAGGGAGAATGGGTGCTGCTCCACCAAATAAAGGTTGAGGATATAGGAGCGGGGACAAGGAAAGAACAATTCCTGGGGGAATTGGGCTGGGGGTGGACCAGCGGAGAAACCAGCTGCTTCTAGGGTAGTCTGGAGAGAATAGCTATAGATAAGGTGCCTGTTAGCCTCTCTTCCTAGTGAGGCAGGTGGTGGGGGCCTCATAAAAGTGAAAGGAGAGGAGAAAATAGGGTTGGGGCTTGGGCTACACGGAGAGAGGATGGCATAGCAGGTGTGAGGAATGGAAAACGGGGCTCGCTAGGGAGTATGTTATGTTCTCTGTAATTGGCTCTTCCTTCAGATAAAACCAAGTCCCTGTCTCTAGCCCATTTGTGGCCTGTTTGAGAAGTCACCATGTAACCAGTGATGCTGTGTTGGAAGTGCCAGAGCAGTACTCCGGCCACCCAGCGGAAGGAGATGGGGCGGAAGGAGGGAGGGGAGTAGCCCCAGCCTGGAAGGACTTGACCCAGGCTCCAAGACTGGTCCTGGGGATATGTAGGGGAGCAGTGGGATATAAGGTAGGTGAGGAGGGAAGGGTTTTGAATATCAGGGCAGTGGATTTGGACCTCACCCTGAAGGCAACAGACAGCTATTTTGAGCAGGAGAGTGAGATAAAGCGATACTCTCAGGAAGAATTTTCTAGCTGCCCGTATAGGCTGGGTTGGAGGGTAGGGAATGTGCAGGAGGTTTGAGAGGCCCAAAGCAGGTCGTATTAAGACTAGAACTACAGTGATGGCAGCCAGAAGGGGTGGGAGGTTTTCCGTCAGAACTCAGCGGGACATGGTCACTGACTCGGAACAAAGAATCGCTGAAAATCCCAAGGCCTGGAGCCCAGGAAACTGCATGGGAGTAAGAGGCTGGCTTAAGGGGTTCAAGAAGTGGTAAATAAAAGGAAAGAGCGGGAGGCCAAAGCTGCCACCCTGGAGCCCTGCAGCTCTGCCCACACCCTGCCGCGCACCACCACCCCCGCCCCGCCCTATCTCTGCAGAAGTGCTGTACTACACAGACGACACAGCCATGGCCAGGGCCCTGGTGCAGTCCCTGCTGTCCAAGGAGGCCTTCGACGAGGTGGACATGGCTCACAGGTGAGGGGGGATGGTCCTGCGATAAGGCAAACAAGGTGGCAGTTATTACACACCTTGACCAGGAATGTCCGTGCATGCCGGGACCCCTAGCCTCAGCAGGACTGTTTTTAGGTCCGCTGCGGCTTCCCAAGCTACAATAGAAATAACAGCACCGCTGGTACAGGCTTCACAGGTCCCCAGGGCTTCCCCTTTTCCCAAAACAGCCAGATTTCTTCTTTCCACAACCTCACGGGCATCTTTGAAACCCTCATCCTGTCTCCCGTCTCCCCTAGATTTGCTCAGGAGTACATGAAGGAACCCGACAGGGGTTACGGTGCTGGAGTAGTCACTGTATTCAAGAAGCTTCTGAGCCCCAAGTGCCGTGACGTCTACGAGCCTGCCCGGGCCCAGTTCAACGGGAAAGGCTCCTATGGCAATGGGGGTGCCATGCGGGTGGCTGGCATCTCCCTAGCCTATAGCAGCCTCCAGGATGTGCAGAAGGTAGTCTGGGCATGCTGGTTTCTGGGCTGTCCCCTCCCTCCTGCCTCTTCTCTGGGTTGTGTGACAGCAGGTCTTAGCCTCCACTGCCTTTGCCCTAGTTTGCCCGGCTCTCGGCCCAGCTGACACACGCCTCCTCCTTGGGTTACAACGGTGCCATCCTGCAGGCCCTGGCCGTGCACCTGGCTTTGCAGGGGGAGTCATCCAGTGAACACTTCCTCAAACAGCTCCTGGGCCACATGGAAGAGCTGGAGAGTGATGCCCAGTCCGTCTTGGATGCCAGGGAGTGAGTATATGGGATGGAGGCGGCTGGAGGTATGTTTGTAAGTTTGCTTGTGTGTGGGGTGGGGTCCTCCAGCGTTGCCACAAGCTGAGACCTGGGAGGGGTGGGAAGAACCCCTTTGCCTTGGCTGTGCTTCAAGGCTCTCAGGGTCCCAGAGAACGAAACAAGCAGCTCACGCCCAGCCTTCTCCCACTTCTTGTCAGGACACGTAGGCCTGGGTGTCAGCCTGGCCACATCCCCGCCTCACCCTCCCACACAACCCTCTCCCTGCCTGGCATCTCCACCCAGCTGGCTCCAGTCTCCCTGAAATCTCACCCCTGACCCACAGGTTGGGCATGGAGGAGCGTCCATACTCCAGCCGACTGAAGAAGATTGGAGACCTTCTAGAGCAGGATTCAGTGACCAGAGAGGAGGTGGTGTCCAAGCTAGGTGGGTAGTCCCCCCACACTCGCACCTCAGGTTCAGGCTTGGGCTCAGGGATGGGACGGGGGCATGGAGTCACACCTGCCATCACATTTTTGCCCAGGGCTGCTGTGACAGCAGAGTCAGCTCTGTAGGGTCCTTGGCAGGTTGTGAATGAGCACAGCACCTTCTTGCTATCAGGCCACAGCACCTTCAGCTTTACAGAGAAATGTCTCCAGAAATGGCAACTGCTCACTAGTTCCTATAGCTGATGTTTCTTTATATAGCAATGGAATTTCTCAGTCACCCAGCCAGCAGTTGGGAGAGCCAGGATTTGAACCCAGGTAGTCTAACTCTGGAGCCTATGATCGTAACCTGAAGTTGAGAGTGTTGACTTGTGGCAGGAAGCCTGGGGGTGTGCGGGGGTGGGGTCAAGTTCCCATAATCTGGAGTCCCCACAGGAAATGGCATCGCCGCCTTTGAATCTGTGCCCACCGCCATCTACTGCTTCCTGCGCTGCATGGAGCCCGACCCTGAGATTCCATCTACGTTCAATAGCCTCCAAAGGACTCTCATCTATTCCATCTCGCTTGGTGGGGACACAGACACCATTGCCACCATGGCTGGGGCCATTGCTGGCGCCTACTATGGGATGGAACAGGTGCCAGAGAGCTGGCAGCAAAGCTGTGAGGGCTATGAGGAGACAGACGTCCTGGCCCAGAGCCTGCACCGGGTCTTCCAGAAGAGTCTGTGAGGGCCACGGCTGCTGGGGCTCCACCGTGTCCAGCGGGACCAACTATAGTGAGGGTTGGAAACCCTGAGCTTTCTTGGGCTTGGCTCCCCACCTGTCTTCCTGCAGCCGGGGCCGAGTGCAGCGCTGGAGCTGGGGTCTCTGGGGGAGGTCACTGGCACAGTGAGCAAGGGACTGGTGCCTCCCTGCTGCTGGCTTTCCAGCTTGCTGCGGAGCCTCGGGTCTTCCCAGCTCCTCAGACATGAGGGACCAGGGCAGGGTTTTTTTGGATGGTTACTTGTGGCATTTTCCTGTATTATCTGGGATGTGGGATTGGGGAGGTGGAAATGATCTGCAGTAGCATCATTTCTCCTCGTTGGGATTTAGCCAATTTGCCAGAAAGCCGGTGTTTGACTAGGCAGGGCCCCCGCACAGCAGATTTCTGTGGATGGAGGAGACAGGTACTTGAATCTAGCTAATCTAGATACACACCTGGCCCTTGGCTGTGAGGGGCTTCTTAATGGCTTCCGTTGAAAGTCACAGCAATAAACAGTTTTCGATAAAATCCCACCACAGCTTCCCGTGTTTCTCCTCTGCCCTGAATGGATTCTTCCCCCTGGACCTGTGCCTAGTGCGTCTCCGTCTGGGCTGTGCTGTTAGGAGCTGTGATCCCAAGGGGATGAGCCGCTGGGCTGTCAAGGCACATTCCTCCAGTTCCTCCAGCCAGCTGCGTTGTTCATCCAGGACGGGCAGAGCCGGCATGGTTTGGTGGTGCTTCCTGTTGATCAATGAAAGTGGGCCTGACTTCACAGGTTGCTCCCCAGGTAGGGCCCAGGCCCAGCTAGGCCAGAAATGGGAACTCTATAGGAAGATGCAGAGGACACCTTCTGTCACTGGGCTGCTGACCTCTGGATGGGGAAGTCACGTCACCCTGCGTGCCATGGGTAGACTGAAGGCCGTGCCTCGTTCTGCATCTTGGGCCCCAGAGGCATCGGCCTGCTAGGGAGTTCCGAACAGCATCCATTTCCAAGTAAGGGAAATTGAAAGGGAGGGGACAGCTCCCGTCAAACATCAGGGATATTCTCTCAGTATCCTTCCAGCCCCAGTTGAGAAAAACATGCCCAGCTCAACAGCTAGCCTGAGGTTTCAGGACTGCTGGGCAGGTTTGCTTTCAGCCAAGATGGGGCTCTGCCAGGCTGGGGCAAACCACAGGACTTTGCAGAGCATGGATTGGTCTCAGGTGTGTCATCCCGATCCCCAGAGCCAAGGACAGATCCCTAGCTGCCGAGCACAGCAAGCTCTGTGCGGCAGGTGCTTTCGGCCTGGGATAGCTCTGTGGGCCCTGCCTTTAGCATCGGGCCTGGCACTAGCTCTGCCCACAACAGGAGCAAAGATTCATGATTTCATTCATAATTTGTATCAGATGTTGAAACTTGGCCCCTGGGATCCTGAGCCAGCTGTCATGCTCCACTACCCCTGAGAGCTTGCAGGAATGTTCCAGGGAAGTTTGATCCGTCTCCCTCAGCGCCAGCCACTGCCTTACCTTGGTTTCTTAAAATGCCTCTTGGCATTTACTTGGTGCAGAGCTTCAGCAGCTTAGGAGCATTGAGTGTGTCTGCTCCAGGGGGGAGAGCCCATGGCTGGCAGCTGGGGATGGACACGGGCTCCCTGAGAGGGCACACAGCAAGAGCCCCAGCAAGCTCCCCGGACGCCTTGTGAAATCCAGCGGCTTGAGACCCCTCTGCATCAATGCCAATCTCAGCACCGTGCTGTTTTACACAACAGGTTTTATTGAGGCTGTGTCAGTACAGTCAATACCGTTGTTTTTTCTTTTCAAAAAGAAGTCCCATTTTCTTAGATTCCCAAGTGCATTTTTCCCGAATCTTCTGTGACACGGCACGTAATAGGTATGTAGAGAACTAGCTTCTTACACCAGGTTAGAGATGAAATTACTAACGGAAAACATTTAAACCTAAATCTTTAAAAAAAAAAATGAGGAATCGGAATATAAAAATGCACAAGGTAATGTAGTTTTCATTGGTAAAACCTGACATCATTTATCAAAGCTAGTCAGTTAAATGGACACTTGGAACTAAAATCCCATAAACATTTCGGAAGCACCAATCACCCCTCCCAAAGGCTTCAGGAGTGACATTTAGCAGAAGCTCAGTTCTATGGAACAGCGGGTTTGTTTTGTTTTTTGGCTCCCCCATACTCTTCGGTCTCCTGTGTTCCCATTGGGAGCTGATGAATTTCTGCCCATCAGAACCCCTCCCCAACAGGTCAGCCAGTGGTGGCTTTAACCCAGGAAGGAGGCTAAGCAAAGGGCCCACCAGGTATGGTTTGAGACTCCTTAGCTGTCTTGGGTTGTTGGGGAATAAGAAATCCACCATGAACCCCAGCCCAAACCTCTTTCTTAAAGTGTCAACTTGGGCAGATTTGGGTTTTCATTTCTCCTTGTGAAAGTTCACGTGAGCAGTCAAATGGACTGCTTTGTTGGGAGAAGTTAGTGGGGAGGACTAGCAAGGGGCCTGAAGGAACCGCAGCTTAGGAAGTCAGAAGTCAGCGTCACCCTCCATTTTCAACATGGACGGTCTGGCGGGGCCAGAATTGGAGCAGCACAACCCCGTCACATTGCCTGACCCAGGCTCATACTTGGTCCAGGGAGGTGGGCTGGCTTGGGGAGAGCCACAGGAGAGGCCCCACCTCTGGGGGAGTGGCTATCCTTGCATGGGCAAGCGCGTCCATCCCTGCCCCCAGCGTCAATCTCAGCTTTATCCATCCACCTGGAACCAGAGGATGGGAGGGGGCTCCTGCCTGTTTTCCTGCAGGGGAGCTCTGATTGGGGAAAATTACAGAAACATCCAGAGCCAACTCATTCCAAAGGGGCCTGTTGGCACCCTTTTTCCCAGAGCCTCAGCCTCCTGAGCCCTAATCCTGCTTCGAACAGGAAATTGGGACCAGAGGTGGGAGAAGAGGAAGCCCCCCCCCCCGGATTAACCCCTCTAGTAGATACACATACCCACCATATGGTTCTTATTAAGGAAAAGCAGGCAGAGCCTTCATCCCCGAGCTTGTGTGCACCTTGTTCTGAGGGCCAAACGAGAGGCTCTGCCTTGGGGATACTTGGGTCGGGGGAGGCAAGGATCCCTTACAAGTTTGTATGAGAAAATCAGCCTTCCCCACAGGTGAAAGGAGAGAAAGGGAGAAATACCCCTGTTCACCGTCTCTTGCGTTCCTGGGCGACTGCCCTCATGCTACACAGAGTCAGCTGGTTAGGGGCAGCCTGGGAGATGGAGATGCCTGTGAAGACCTGCCATCCTACCCCAGCTCCACATCCCTCACAGCCCCTATCCCTCACAAACCGCCGTTCCCCATGGCTGCGGCTGGAACCGTGAAAAGGGGTTGGCCCTTCCCAGGAGCTTGCAGAAGGGGCCACACACCTGTACCTGCCATGAACAGGCCTGATGCCACAGCATTGCCCCTGGGGTTGCTGTCCTGGCAGGGTGTCCACACTGGCCACCTCGATGGTCCCCCTCCTCTCCCTTTTCCCTGCAGAGAAATAAACTCTTCAGGGGACCCACCATCATATGCTGGAGGTCCCTAGGGAGCTGGAAGAGCCCCAGCCAAGAGCTGAAGGAAGCTATGCCCCATTCCTTGAGCAGGTGCCATCTGGGAGCCAGAAGGAAGGGCAGGGCTTGGGAATATGTTCCCCCCGGAGGGACGGATGGGGGTGTTCAGTCCCCTTTCAGCTCCGACTCATGGAGAAGCAGCGTCTTTCACCACCCAACAGAGCCCAGAACTCACAAGGGGGCAGGGGTCTCTGACAGCTGGGCCGAGTGTCCTGGGGCCCTGCCTGCAGGCCAGGCAGGGCAGGAATGGGGGTACAACCCCAATACCACACAGGCACTTGGGGGAGAGGAACTCAGGCCAGCCTCTTCCAGAAACAACCTCAGCCTGCATGGAGGGAGAAACCAAGTCAGTCTCCTTGGGCCAAGGCCAAGACCATGGCCACCTCTGTTCAGCCTTTGGTTTTTTCTTTAAATGCAGGTTCTTCGTAACTGAGAAAGTCTCTCTACCACTAAAGAGGAGGAGGCCAGGGCAGCAGGGCCCCGCGGGTTATGTGGGGCAGAGCAAGAACCCTGAAAAGGAGGAGTGGATGTACTCGGTGGAGTAGAGGCCGTTGGCCTGGTCCGAGGGCATCTGCACCCAGACCTGGTCGTTGGGCCGCAGCTGGAGCACGGCCCCGCCAGACGCCTGGTCCAGGTAGCCCTTCTTATACTCATCATAGGTGTAGGTGGCTGGCACGTTGTTCTTATACAGGGCCACCCACACATTGGTGCCCTTGACATGCACGTGGTAAGCAAAGTAGTAGACCCCGCCCACAGGGCAGGTGAAGATGCCGGTCGCAGGGTTGTAGCCACTATGGCCGTTGTAGAGAGTCCGGTCAAATTTCACAGGCATTCCCGAGGCGGGAAAAGGCGAGGTGAGCACAGCGGTGAAGGCAGGTGTGGTGTGAGCCGATAGCTCACCCAGCCCAAACTGCGGCTTGCCGCCCTTGCCCAGTACAGCACCCTCCACGCCACCGTTGGGCAGGTGCAGGCCGGCAATGCCAGTCTCATCGAAGGCCCCAGGGGCACCAGGGGGGCCTGGAGGCCCTGGAGGCCCAGGAGGGCCAGTGAGTCCTGGGGAACCAGGGACCCCAGGGGGCCCTGTAGGCCCAGCCACACCAGGTTCCCCCACTTTCCCCTCTCCAGGGGGCCCTGGCAGGCCTGGTTCACCCTTCAGGCCTGGTAGACCCTGGGGCCCAATAGGACCAGCTGGGCCCTGCAGTCCAGGGATTCCTGAGGGGCCCCTCAGGCCAGGCTGCCCAGGGAGCCCCAAGTCACCCTTCTGTCCCAGGGCTCCTGCCACCCCTGGTCCCCCAGGGCGGCCCGTGAAGCCCTGCTCACCCTTGGGCCCGGTCGGTCCAGGGGGTCCATGGGCTCCTGGAAGCCCCCTCTCTCCTGGGAGCCCAGGTTTCCCAGCCAGGCCATTAGGCCCCTGGTCACCTCGAATGCCAGGCACTCCTGGGGGTCCCCCAGGCCCTACCTCCCCCTTAGGCCCAGGGGGCCCACGTCTGCCAGGGAGCCCTGCAGACCCTGGAAGTCCAGGGGGGCCCCCAAGGCCCTGTGGGCCCTGCTCCCCTGGCTCCCCATCTTCACCTGGCTCGCCTCTGTCCCCCAAGAGCCCTGGAACCCCAGCAGGGCCCCTGTCCCCCTTGGGGCCTGGAAGTCCTGGCATCCCATAGCCAGTGGGGCCTAGAAGGCCAGGGGGGCCCCGGGTCCCTGGTTCCCCTTTGGCCCCTGCTGGGCCCTGTGGTCCTGGCACCCCTGCTGACCCTGGGACCCCCACACCATCCACCCCAGGGGGCCCTTTTGGGCCCAATGCCCCCGGCTCCCCCCTGGGTCCTGGAACCCCGGGAGGTCCAGACTCACCCTTATCTCCAGGGGCCCCAGGAAGCCCGTCCAAACCTGGTTTGCCCAGGCCAGCTGGACCAGGGAGGCCAGGCGGTCCTGGGGCACCTCCCTGCCCTGGGGCCCCAGGCAGCCCTGGCTGGCCCACCCCGTTATCCCCCTTGAGGCCTCGATCACCTGGGGGCCCAGGCTCCCCCTGAGGCCCTGGCTCCCCTCCAAATCCAGGGGGCCCTGGCACCCCCTGAGGGCCTGGTTTCCCAGGGACGGCAATGCCTGAGGGCCCTGGGAGGCCAGGGGGCCCTGGAGGGCCCCGGAGGCCCTGGTCCCCTCGTATCCCTGGCTCCCCGCGAAGCCCCGGCTGCCCTGGTGGTCCAACCTTGCCCGGGAGCCCTGGGGCACCAGCCTTTCCCATCCGGGAGAAGCCAGGGGGGCCGGCAGGGCCAGGCTGCCCATGTAGCCCTGGCTTTCCGGTGCCTGGTTTTCCCGGGAAGCCCGGAGGACCAGGGGGCCCCCGAGGCCCAGGTTTCCCAGGCGGGCCAGGCTCTCCTTTCAGATCCATCGGCAGCAGTGGTAGAGGCATTTCTAAGAGAAAGAGAAAGAGAAGGGGCAGTCAGGGCACGGATAGTGGGGACAAAGGACCCATCTGCCCATTCCCCACCCCAGCATGGAGTGCATGGCAAGAAGATAAGGTTCTGTATCTGCTCGTGAAGACCATGCCCCGCTATTCCCCTTCCGGCTCTCATGGAAGATGGAATTCATTGGGGTCCAGTGGCCATCTTGGGGGCTTCAGGCTGTCCTCACCCAGGGCTTCTAGCATTCAACCTACCCAAGGCTGGGCTCTTCCCAAGAGTTTGGGGTGCCTCTCATCCCTGTACGACCTGAGGTGCAATGGCCGCCAGGTGGCGCCAGCAGCCCTCCGTAGAGCCAGAGCAGACCTCCCCACAACTTCCCCTCAGACCTTCCTAGCCCGCCCCTGCCCCACTAAAGACCTCCGCTACCAGCCAGCTGCACCCTCTTCTGGACCCTCCGGGGGTGGGAAGCTCTGGACCAGCATCAGGAAGAAAGTGGAGATGGGAAGATCTTTGGTGGCGACTGAGGGACTGGGACCTGGCGGCCTGAGAGGAGCTGGTGGAGGTCGGGAAGGAGGGAGCTGGGGCTCAGGAGCCATCCGAGGCACTGGGGGCAGGGAGGTGCTCACCCAGGTACTGGCCCTTGCCCTCGCGGAAGGGCGGCCCCACGGGTCCTTTGTGCATGGGCTGCACGTACTTCACCGGCGCGTAGCCCGCTGCCCCGCCGGCCCCGCCGCAGGTGGCCGCCCGCGGCCCGCACCCCAGCAGCAGCAGCAGCAGCAACAGCAGCAGCAGAAGTGGCGGCACAGACAGGGGCGTCAGAGCCCCCCGCATGGCGTCCGCGGGCGTGCTGCAGGGAGGAACCAAGAGGGGCTTTCAAGCCAGCCCCTGAGTGCAGGGACTCACAAAAAGATCGGAAGTTAGATATTATTCACAAGCACTACCCAAAGCCTCAGGGTCTGCAAAAGTTACCTCCTAAACCTCTCCCAGCCCTGCCCATGGCTCTGCAGCCCCAGTGCTGTCTCTTGACCAGTCACTCTGTAGCCAGACACCCTTCCAGAGCCCATGGCAGCCCCTGCTCAACACCCTTTGATGATAACACCCACTACTATTTGCTGGGCTGACACTCTGCCAGGCATTGGGTTAAGCCCTCTAGAGACAGGAACTTACTGAATTGCCCCCAGCACGTTAACAAGGTATTGCTCTTGTCATTCCATTTTCCAGATGACAAAATTAAAGCAAAAGTCTCTTGGAAGCAGAACTGGGACGTGCCTTAGATCTGACTTCACATTATGTCGGTGCGCTTTGGGGCTTTGAGGGCTCCCCAATGCCTTCAGGATCAAGTCCATGGGCCAAGCATGGCATCATCCAGCCTTTTTTTTTTTTTTTCAAGAGGGGAATTTTAATTTTTACTGATGAGCCATGATTTCCTACTAAATACGTAAGAGAGTACAAATTAGCAATAACATATTCTGACATTCAAACTGTAAACTTTCAGAATCATCTTGATCAATATACAAAGCTTCAGTTTCTGGGAAAGTAATGTTTTATTTCAACAATGTTCTTCTCATATGCAAAACAGCTCCTCAAAATAGGGTATTTATCTCCGAATGGCTCAGTTGGTTAAGAGCTCGCTCAAGAGTTTGAGCTCTGAGCAACAGCGGTTCGAGGCCAGCCCGAGCTGAGCAGCCGCTAAGCTGCCAATAGGTAGCAGGATGGCTCAGCTAAAAAAAAAAAAATAGGGTATTTATCAATAAAATTTTATAAAGCTTCCTGTGTGCAAAAGAAATTGACTCTATCACATCAACTACACCCAACTAAAAATCCAAAACATAAAGGCTGGAAGGACCTGAATAGAGCCATATCCTACTAAAGCTATCAAAGATCTACAAACAGAACATGGAACTACCCTCCACCGCTGAGTGCAATGGGGAGGAGAGTGGTAAATCATGGCCTCATAACAACACAGGATAGACTTATTCTTAAATAGGTAGCAACACATATATCAATATCATCTCTATTACAGAGAGACATACCAATACATAAGCGTCCTTTAAGTGAAAAACTCGAAAATCACCTAGGAAATATCAGTTTTTCTGGGTTACAATAATTGAGATGAAAAGGACAGTATTTTACGGGATGATGTAATGTGGCACTGTCTTTCCATGAGGCACATGAAAACATAACTCACTGGCTAGAAAGTTTTAAAATAAACCTACTCTCACTGATAGATACTTAATTAGAAAGGTATATTTACAACTTAGTTTCCTGAATAAAGTAGGATATCAAGGCCTTTTAAACTGTGCCTATGTCTCAGGCCCTATCACCTACCATGCCTTTCTCTGCCTCTCCCCTTCCCCAGACCTCTGCCCCAATAATGTAGAACCCCTTATGGCTCCCAGACACCAGGCAGCCTCACACCTCTGGGCCTTTGCACCTGCTGGTTTTCTGCCTGCAATGTTCTTCCCCTCTTCTACTCATCCCTCAAGGCCTAGGGAAGCTGTCATCCCTTCCTCCATAAAGTTAACTCCTCTCTCCTTTTCGTCCCAACCTAGCTCTGTCACAGCATTTAGCTCAGCTCCAAGAATGAGGCCTGGGTGGGGAGAAGCACAAGCTCTAGATCGGGACAGTCAGCCTGAGGCCTCCACGCACCAGCTGGGGGAGCTTGGGCAAGAGGTTTCCACTCTGTGACTCTGTTTCCTTATCTATAAAATAGGATAACAAGGGCCAGCCGAGTGGCGCATTGGTTAAGAGCTGACTTGGGACGCCAGAGGGCCCTGGTTTGGATCCCACATATGAGGGCCAGTGACACTGCCCTCTACAGCTAGGATGCTGAACAACAGCTCAACCTGGAGCTGGGCTGCCGTGAGTTGCCGGCAACGGCGTAGGCTGCAGCCCCTGTGGCAGTGGGTTGCCATGGGCTACCGTGTGTAGCCAGCAGCCAGCGTGAGCGGCCAGCAGCCGCAGTGAGCGGCCGTCCAGAAGCCGGCGACTGATCTGCCTCACCCGGAAAGAGCGCAATGATGGTGCCAACTTGGGCAAGTGAAGCAACGTCCTCCACAACTAGACTGAAGAACAAAATGACAGCAACTTGTCTGTTCCCCTTCCCCCAATTCCCCAATAAAAAAAAAAATAAATAAATAAATAAATAAAATAGGATAACAAGTCCACACAAAATAGTGTACGTGAATGTTCACAGAAATAACATAGATGTGCATCAACAGATGAATGGGTAAAGTGTGGTACATCCGTACAATGGAATATTATGCAGCAATGAAGTCAAGCACTGATAAATGCTGCAATACAGGTGAATCTTCAAAACATTATTCATGTAAGTGAAGAAGCCAGTCACAAAATCATATTATATGATTCCATTAATATTAAGTGTCCAGAAGAGGTACATCTATAGAGACAGAAAGTAGGTTAGTGGTTGCCTAGGGCTGGGGGGAGGCGGAAATGGAAAGTGTCTGCTAATGGGAATAGGGTTTCAATTAGGGGTGATGAAAAACGTCCTAAAATTGATTGTGATCATTGCACAACTCTATCAATACATTTTTTGAAAAAGCATTGAATTGTACACTTTAAATGGGCCAATTGTATAATATGTAAACCAGATCTCAATAAAGATGTTGTTGTTTTCTTTTTAAACTGGGCAAACAACCTGCTTCTCAGGGCTGCTGTGATGATTAGAGATACTGTGGTCTGCCTCACAGTGGGCACCCATCAATATTTGAATGGGGGACTAGCTGGCATTTTACATACCTGAGGAAAATTCCACTTCCCCTCAGATTTCTGCCCTGGGCTCTCCTCACCCCAGCCAGGGGCCTGGCCTCCAGAAGGGTTTGGGGGGGGGGAGCATGTGAGGGGATGGGGCAGAGCCCTCTCTGGTGCTGGGCTCAGTCTGGAGCTGCAGTTCGATGTTCCCTTAAACTCAGCATCACACAGAGTTTGGCAAGAATGGATGCAGGGCTCCGGAGAAGGTGGGTGAAGCTGCCAACCCAGCTCTAGGGTTCAAATCCCAACTCTGCCATTGACTTGTTCTATAGCCTTGGACAGGTCACTCAACCTCCCTGAGCCTCAGCCTAATAATAATACCTACCACTTACGAGGCTCCCCATGTGCCAGGCGCAAGCTCGGGGCCTAGCAGGCTTCATCTCACAGAACCCTCTCAATGACAGCCCCCCCCCCAGGCTCATGCGTTTATTGTCCTCATTTTATAGACATTGAAATGGAAGCTTAGACTGAAGACTCTTGCCCGGGACACATGACTGGGAAGTGTGAGAGCTGAGGCCTCATCCAGAGCCTGCCCTCAGCACAGGCCCCCTGCTCTAAATGCCACATGATTGATGCCAGGACTCATGAGGCTGCGCCTGACAGGCCTGGCCCTCGGGTCCTGCTGATGGAGGCTCTGGCCAGGCACTGCCCGAACATTTTACATCCCATCCTTATTCAGCCCTGGGAAGCATGTTAGCCCTATTTTAGAGATGAGGAAACCAGGGTGCGGTCGGAACCTAAACCCAGGCAGTCTGACCCTTGAGCCCCAGCCCCTATACCATCCCACCTCCCCTGAGCAGGAAAGGGGCCCCCCTGCATTGACCACCTGAGCTCGGGGTCCATGGGGATGAGGGGCCAGTAGTGTTCTGCCTGGTTCGTGGCAGGGGGAGGGGAGAGCCATTCTGCACTGAATGGGTCAGAGGCCAAGGTCATGGCATCACCACAGAGGATTCAGGACAACCCTGGTTCTGGGGACCTAAACCGAGGTCTCCATGGGGTGGGGAGGGTGATGAAGGGGACAGGCAGCCTCGGGCTCAGCTGGGAGCACAGGCAGGCAGGATGCCAACGGGAGAGCCCCAAGTCTAGTCAGGAGCCAAGGCAGGGCGCCCACCCCTCCCCTCCCCCTCCACGAGCTCCCCACCTTTCATTCCTCCTTGGTAATGTGGGTAGCCAGGGAGCATCCTGCCCCACACCCTGTGGCTCCCTGAACTTGCCCCATCCCAGCACCTCCTACACTGTGTCCCTTCCTCTGAATGGGACAGGCCAGCTGCTGAACCCCAGGGCAGGCGCTTCCCCTGGACCGAGGAGTGTCTGCGGGAGAATGCAAGCTCACACTTGCTGAGCACACGGACCTCCCATCAGGCACCCACCCAGGTGCTTTGTGTTCAGTGATTTAATTCCCACCAGGTCCCTGGGAGAGAGGCGCTGTTGTGATTCCTCCTGTGTGAGAGGAAGGAGCCCGAGGCTCAGGGAAGTACAGTGATGTGCCTGCTCACCGGCCGGAGCGGGAGCCAGGATTTGAACAGAAGGCTGTTAGGAACCGGAGCTCTTAACCACTGTGACATCCTGCCGTGGGGGAGTGGGAGCGGGGGTGGGGGTGGGGGAGGAGAGAACAGCCGGAGAGCAAAAGCCAGACTGAGAGGGAGAAGCGAGCTGAGAGTCTTACAGCTCCAAGCCGCCTGTGGGTTTGAGGGGGGAAAGATTACTTCAGCTTTTAGAGGTGAGGCTGGCATGTACCAGACCCGGTGGGGGTGGGGGTGGAAGCGAGTGCATGGCCGAGAGCAGGGGTGTTCTGAGCCTGTTCCAGCGGCTACAAAGACAGATGATGCCATGCAATGGTACAACGCAGCAGCCCCGGTGGGACACACTGCTCCCCAACCCCAGTCACCTTCAGAGCCAAGGGCGCCTGGGCGCCTCTGAGCCCCGCTGCCTCCTTCTCACTGTCACCCTTCCCCGCACCCACACCCACGCTCCCTGAGGCTCTCTGGCCTCTGCTCATTCCGTTCCCTCAACTGTGTCCCCACTGCCTACCTCTTACTTATTCCTGGGCATCGAGGAAGCCTATTGGATGCCTCC